CATCTTTGCCCAGAGAGGAATGAAGGAGTTATCAGAGTTAGCGAAGACCTCATTCATAACACTAGAAATGAAGTCACTGTTGTAGAGCTCAACACAAGTTCCACTATCTTCACATTTCATCACCTAGAAATAAGTTTTGGAGTGATAGTGATAGGAAAACCAAAAACGTTAGACCAGATAACAGACTCACCATTGCCGTTTAGTTTAATGGATGCATGCATCCAAAATTCTTTAACAACAACATGATAGATGGGTCCATCCAGAATGTTAACATAGTGTTTCAGGTTTTGTGAAGAGAACATTTTAGTGTAATCGATTCCATATTCTTTGAAATCGTCAGGAGACACAATTTTCTCTCGGGGGACAAATAAAACGATTTCCTTCTTGCTAAAAGAAGACATATTGATAGAGAAGGAAGAAAATGAGAGGATTAATAGGGACAAAAACTGAAGCGGAGATAAGAGGACGAAAAAATATGGGGAGATAAGAAGTGGAGCAAAAATCAAAATTTAAATAAACCAATGGGACAAAAGTGCTCATATAGTTCATTAGTGACATTGTAAATCGAAAGAACTTCATCTGTCCCCAAGACATAGGGTATTACCATAATCTAAATACAAAGATTTGGATATCTGCATTTATGACATCTGTTTAATGTTTGGTGCATTGTCAATTTGAATTAAGGATGATGTGATATTTCAGTCTAAGATCTTATGGATACTATTACATAGAAAAAAATGAGATATTATGGTTACTACATCTCTTTGCGATCTTGATAAGTATAGCTGAATTTGGATCATTTCACACACTCCCTCTTCACATGTTGACCTCAAGTATATTCACCATGCTGCATATTCCAATGAGCTGTTTCAAATTGCAATACAACTTATGTTAATAATATGTAACATCGGAAGACTACCTTACAATAAATCGAAAATTGATCATTATGACAAAATTCGAAAAATACATAATTTGGATTAAGTTATCATATTAGAATTTATAGATAGTAACAAATGATTGTTAATTTAAAGAGATGTAAAATAAAAACTAAAAATAAATTAATAATTTAATCAATATATACTATATAACACACACACACACACACACGCACGCACGCACGCACGCACGCACGCACGCACGCACGCACACGCACACGCACGCACGCACGCACGCACGCACACACACACACACACACACACACACACACACACACACACACACACACACACACACACACACACACACACACACACACACACACACACACACACACACACACACACACACACACACACACACACACACACACACACACACACACACACACACACACACACACACACACACACACACACACACACACACACACACACACACACACACACACACACACACACACACACACACACACACACACACACACACACACACACACACACACACACACACACACACACACACACACACACACACACACACACACACACACACACACACACACACACACACACACACACACACATATATATATATATATATATTTTAAAGGGTGCCACAAACTTATTTCAATAAATTAAGGGTATAATAGATGGATTGTTCGGTAAAATCGACAACAATTTCCTGCAGATGTGATCAGGAAATATTTTCTACAAAATCTGACTTTAATAGAACTATATGACAGTGTCTGGGACGTGCCATACGCGTGGAAGTTGAAGTCTAGTGACACTAAGACAGAGTCGTACCTCTGCAAAGGTTGGTACGAATTTGCTGAAGCGCGTTGCTTGAGTGAAAGCAATATTTTAAACTTCTCCATTCAATATCCTAATCCGACCCGTTTGTCAGTTGTCGGTGGATAAGAAGTGGTAGTTTGTGGATGGTCCTTGCATTTTAATATAGAAGACTTGGCTCTTATGTTGGTGTATTGTAGCATATTTCATTGATTTCAATCTTTTTTGGATAGTTTGTGTTTAATGTTTGAAACATGAATTTAATTCTGTAATGATATTTTTACTGTGTGGGGATCAATAACACGCTTGATAGTACCAACCGTACTTGGATGATATCAACTTGAAAAGTTTGGTAACTGTAATACAAAAAGTATCCTGAAAGGAATAATGTGATTTAGTTAATTTGACAAAGAATTGAATAAAAATAAAATAAAGTCAGACCAGTAAATTGTCCTTACACTTTTGAGTTCCTTGATTCCATTCAAAGGAAGGATAACAACTTTAGCCATGGATTTTTGATAAGGTGTTAGGTGAGAGCTTCCAGAACTGTTTCAAATTGCAATACAACTTATGTTAATAATATGCAACAACGGAAGACCGCCTTAGGAAATAAACCGAAAATTTATCATTATGATAAAATTTGATTTTTGGAAATCCAAAACTTTTCATCTATTAATTGAAGCTCTTTAACTACTCGATATTGAAAATCTAAACTTGACATTGAAATTGAACAACGGTTTTCATGTAACAAACATGCATGTGAATATGAACTCAAAACTAGAACAATAACTACAAAATCATTCTATACAAGTTACACGTTTGTCATTATATTGGAAAAATCATAGTTTCTCATGGATTAAAGCTATGTATTAGTCTTGGTTCCACCATGTAGAAGTACAAAATTTTACTGTATATTTGTTCAAGGCATTAGCCATACAAAAACATACATGAATTTACAGTCAGTGATGGAAACTCAATTTTTTGATTGAATTAAAAAAATGTTATCTACAAAAATAAATACATACTTGAATTTTAAACTCTGTCAGCATGTCAAATTTGACAGAAAAAGACAATGCCTTTAGAAAGAATGGTAATAACATCTACAATAGGTTTCCATGCTCCAACTTGCACTTTAGTCCAAACACCATTCTATTATAAGTATATCTGAATTTGGATCATTTCACACACTCTCTCTTCACATGTCGACCTCAAGTATGTTCACCATGATGCATATTTCACTGAGCTGGTTCAAATTGCAATACAACTTATGTTAATATCTAACAACGGAAGACTACCTTTGGTAATTAACCGAAATTGATCATTATGACAAAAATACAATCTATATTTGAATAATACCACAATCTAATTTCACATTTCAATTCAAATGCTAACAAACTAAATTTGAATAATATCACAATCTAATTTCACATTTTAATTCAAATGCTAACAACTCAATAACACAACAATAAATTATAAACTCATGGTTCAAGACAAACCCTAAATATTCAATTGAACGAATCTATTTAATGCAAATGCAATTTCATAATTTATGAATACGATAAAATACAATCCCTAATCCACAATTATATAATTTCTGATTAATTCAATTCAATTACATAATTCATTAATTTCATATTTACAAGCCGTAATCCCCAATTACATAATTTCATAGTAGGAATCAAATCCATTTCAAAAAAATTGAATTTCATAAGATACAAATCTAATCCCCAAATCGACTATTTCTGGGAATATTTCTAATCAACTTCCACATAAAATATAAATCCTTAAACCCAATTCAATAATTTTAGTATAAAATGTAAAATCAAATTGAGTTTGAGAAAACATACATACTGGGATGGATATGAACAATGACCTGTGAAAGCAAACGACAACATAAAATCATTCCTTTGAACCATATACGATCTGATGAAAAACGCAACCAATACGAATTACACGAACATTACTCTAAATGATGAACATCAAACATGAACACGGTTACGAAATTGTGTGGGAGGGAAACAGTCGAATACAAATTTCGAATTTTTGGAAGAATGATGTAGAAGGAGTTCCAAGAATAGATGAGTGAAATTTAGAGATTTAGAGTTTTAAATTGTAATTTCGAATTATTCATTTAAAAAGTTGGAAGAAGAAGAAGAACGAAAAAGAAGAATGATGATGATTGATAAAAGTTATTTTAAAAAAATATTATAATCTAATAAAAGTAATTTTTAATTTATAAAAATTTTTAAGTGAATGGGGACTAATATCCAATAATTAAAAATTTATTTTAAAATGGACCCACTGTAAATTTACTCCACCATAAAATCAATATGACTTAGGACTTTTTTCTATAATTAAAATGATTTCTTAAAAAAAAATTAATTATGTGACTTCACTATAGAAACTCTCATATTGTTTTACGATAAATTTTGTTATTTTGGTTTTAGTCTTTAATTAACTGACCTTTTCAACTTTTCAATTTGCAAAGCTGATTGATAAGAACCTATCATATCTTAGTCAATTACATTGCTTTCAGGAAATCTCAATCTTTAGCTCAAACATTTTTCAAGTATGTTTTTCAACCACTTTAATAGTTTCCCTTTAACTAAGAAGCATAAGTTTTCACCTTAAAATATGTGAACTTATGAAATTAGGATGAATAAAATAAAATTATGAAACGTAATTGCAAAATACAAATTCAAAAATTTTAAATATCATGAAAGTGTTTATTTGTTATACTTTGTTAGCCTCTGTAATATTTTATGGTTGGACTAGATATTATGCTAAAATTGACATTCCTCTATTATTTTGTTTAGCATATATTTACCATTAGAATTTGCAATGTCTCCACTTCTCACTCATTCTATTATTTTGAGCTGAGTTTTGACCTTTTCAGTTTCTTCAATGTTCTAAAAAAGTATATATCATCTCTCAAATTAGATAACCCCATCATTTACTCTCCAATTATTCTTAGTTTATAAAAAAATCATTTTCTATTTTCTTTTGGAAGTTGTTGAATACCATTGGTTCTAATATAACTAGTTTTATGAGTGGCAAATCCATATTATTAGGAACACCAACCACTTCATATGGAATACAATTATTATAGTAAGAACATCATCTATTATCAAATTATGAAATGCTAATAATAACTAGCTATATTTATGTTCATTCTTTTCTAATTGTATATATTACATTTGTTCTAGTTTCAAACACTTTTCTATTAGTCTCTAATCCTCAACAATCGAAACATTGTCCTAGATAAGAGACACTATGGATTTCACAAGCAAAACAATTTTCTTCACCCTAACCCTAACCCTAACCCTAGCCTCATTCCTCTTTGTTGGCAATGCCGATGAGGATATCCACGTTGTAAACCACAATCTTCAATCCGATCTCACGGGGTTATGCCAAAGAACTACCAACCCTACACTTTGTCTAGAAACAATTCGACCACACTTGCTCAAGGGTTCAATTACTCCCATTAAGGCTCTCGATGCTGAAGTCGAAGCGACTCATGAACAAACCAAAAGAACTATGGATTTCATTGGTACTTCACTCGCCAAAAGTAGTACTTCCAAATCATTGAAGGATTCTCTTGCTATATGCAGGGAGCAATACCAAGGCATTTTGGATACTATCAAAGAAACCAAAGAAGCAATTGCTAATAATGATTTTACTACAGCTAAGTTGAAATTCAGTGCTGTTTTGTCATACCAAGGATCTTGCAAAGATGCATTTGAAGGGATGGAGAAGGAATTCTTCTTTTCTCATGACTCTGATAATTTGTTTCAGTTGGGAGGAAACTGTTTGGACATCATAGCTGATATAGAAAAGGCTGAGGGTCCTAAGACTGAAGTAGTACCAACCGTTTCAACTCCTTCTACAGTTTCTACATTTAGCAACGTAATTGGAACCGTAAGTTAAAAGTGGTTGAGGATACAATATCCAACTTTTTCCTGGTAGAAAAATTTAAAATTTAATTTTATTATTTGTAAGTTAATAGATGAAGTGGATACACACCTTACTACGAGGTTTGAGTTCCAACCCTAGTAATAGTATTCTAAGTATTAATATGAACTTTTGTTTATTCACTTATGATCCGTGGAGTTAAATGAGTCATCCTTATTGGTGCATAATACAAGTTCCACTAAATGTAATATTATTTTTATATTTTACATATTTATGATTGTATAATTTTATTTTCCTTTTTTTTTTGTTATATAAATATAATTAAGTGAACACACTAGCATTTTAGAATTTATTTAGATGTAAATCTATTACCCAAATCATTTTATATTATGTCATATATTTATAGTAATTAATTAATAAATAAATGTAAGCTTTAAATCAGTTTTGTCCAAAAGGTATCCATACCAACAAAAAAACTTAAAAATATCTAAAATTATTAACTAAATCTTTAATTTTTCCTTATCATTCTCTTGTCGAATTTTTTTTTTTGGAATAATCATGTATTAAAAAAAAATTCGCAAATAACCACGTTTCGGAAAAAATTACGCAAATAATCATGTTTCAGAAGACTCCCCAAGGGAGGAGCCATCTCACTTGGCGCCTCCACTCAGCATTATGCCCTAGGCGCCATCCCACTTGGCGCCTCCTCTCTCTTTTAGCCAAGTGAGATGGCGCGTGCACTTTAAAAGTGAGAGGAGGTGCCATCTCACTTGGCTCCTAGGGCAAAATGTTATTTTTATAAATAATTTGTCCGTTTCTCCGTCATTTCTCACACTTTCTCGCACTATTTTGTTATTTTTTACTCTGTTATTTGCGTCATGACATAGCTCATGATTTTTACCAGAGACGGTTACGTTATCTTCTCCGCCACAAAACCTCCGATGAAAATGAATTTCTGGCACATTCACTCCATGGAGCGTCTGAAGCGGGAGTTGATGCGATGGCTAGATGGAGACATCGTGGAGGGGGGAAAATTAGAAGGATCCAGCGAAGACGAACAACAACCTCACTTGCTACAGGAAGACCTAATGTTTGGTTGGAGGAAGTCAAAATAGACAGCGACGTAATGTTGATGATGTATGGGTCAGATGAAATTGTTTTAACGGTTGTAATTTCATAGACGGTTTATCGTGTTTTTTTCTTGTTCACGCAATATTTATTGTAACAAATTCTGTTAACGAAAAACCCTAATATTTACAACATAATAAAGGAAAGATTTTTCGTAATACAATTTTTATGTGGTTGAGGCAGTAGCTCGATTCGGACAATTTTTGCGATTGTGTCCAACCTGACGACATTAAACACACTTTCTTTCCAGCTTGTCAAGGGAGTCCATTTCGGTTGTGATGCGCTTACTTTTGGGACAACCCTTTTTATTCCTTCGCATTTGGTCATTGTTCCATACTATTTCGCCGTCGTATGCAGGCCAATAATCTGGTTTTGCTACCAAAGGGAAGTTGTTGTTGTAAATGTTGAGCAACATTTCAGATTTGTAAATGTGTGACAGAAGTTGTAGCGCGTCTTGATGAGTATAGGCACACACGATAATGACATGAGATCAAGGCATACGAAAGGCTTGAAACTTGCCACAATCGCACCAACGAGAAGGTAGTACAACCCTATATTCTTGTCTTGGCAGACCCTTGTTGTGGTCGATTGTCTCTTTGACAATGAAGTTATGGATGTGTCGATCAAACTGTATAATCATATGGGTGTTGGCTTTGGCACTTTCTGCCTTAATGTACTTTATGCAGCTTTCACTCCATAGTTGTCCAGATTGCAACACCGCATTCCATATTTCACCTCTTTTGGCAAACAACGAAGCCATCCTAAAATATGTTGATTTAACCAAAGCAGTGACCGGGAGGTTTCCTATGCCTTTGAATACCCCATTCATCAATTCAATTAGATTTGTTGTCATGTGGCCCCATCTTTGGCCATTGTCGTATGACCTAGTCCATTTTTCTACCGGAATATTATCGATCCACCTATCGGCTTCCGGATTTGACAAACGGATCTCGTTGCGATAATATTTGAACGTAGGTTGTGTCAATGCATATCCCGTATTCATAACCACTTTCCTAAGTGTTTTGTCTTTGATCTCCCTCATGAAATTTTGGACGATATGTCTAACGCAATAGACATGTGTAGAAGGAGGGTCATGCCAACCGTTTGCAGGATTATTGTATGCACTTTCAATGGATGCATGTCTATCTGAGATCAAACAGAGATCTGGTTGAGGAGCCACGTATTTTCGCAGACTTTTTAGAAAAAAGCTCCAAGCACCACCAGTCTCCCCCTCGACCAGGGCAAAGGCAATTGGGAAAATGTTGTTGTTGCCATCTTGTGCAACTGCCATCAGTTTCGTGCCTTTGTATTTCCCATACAACCAAGTCCCATCAATTTGTACAATTGGTTTGCATGATGCAAACCCTGTGATGCAAGGTTGAAAAGCCCAAAACACTCGACTGAATATTCCATTTCCGTTGAGTTGACTACCATCCGGGGCGTATGCTGGCACTGTTTCCAGAATGTAAACAGTACTCGGAGAATAAGTCTGGATTGCATTCAGGTAGCGAGGAAGTTCTTGGTATGACTCCTCCCAGTTTCCATAGACATTTTCAATCGCCTTGGTCTTTGCTAACCATGCATTTCGGTAAGATGGGGTATAGTTAAATACCGTAGTGATGTGGGAGATTATGGTTTTCACCTTCAATGATGGATCGTTGATGACGAGTGGTAAGGTTTCTTGACAAATGAGATCATAATTAAGTTTTCGATGATCCTGTGATTGAGTAGAACTGACACAAGTGTGGGTAGACATAGAAGCTATGACCCAATAATCACCTCTTAATCTGTATGATGCAGTGAGCTTGAACATACAATCAGGGTGGACACACTTGATCTTGTACCTTTCTGGATTTACACGGTCCACCTTAAAATCGACCGAGTTGAGCATGTGGAATTTTTTGATGGCTCTGATACATTCTTCTCTGTTACGAAATTTGTCTTTCTCTTTTAAGTTTTCATCCGACTGCATATACGGATTGAAAAATAAATCAGAAGACGATTCATCTTCGCCCATGTTGAAGTTTGTCATGTGCGGAGGTGGTGTGTAGATCTCGTTTGCAAGAATACCAGGTATCCCATCATCTTCGGAATAATCATTGACCATTTCTTCAAACTCCAACTCGTCATCTTCTTCTTCTTCATCTACCGCATCTACTTCTGCTTATTCAGTCTCCAAAGGATCAACCACTTGTGACAGTTGAGGCTCTCGCAACATAATATATAACTCAATAGAGTCGTACACAGAATACTCATGACTGGAAAACATATTCTGAAGATCCTCGTCATCTTGAACCTCGACCTTATAAAATATTATTTGGTTGTTACCAAAAAAAATTGGATTCTGATAGAATATTTGTGTCACGGGGCCTCGTCCAAGTTTGGCCTCTAATCGTTTTTTGAAGTACAAGAAATTGGCTTTCATGTTTAAACAAAATCAGATGTTCTCTGTGTATCTAAACAAAAACCCAGAGGTGGGGTAAATGTATGTCTCACCGTTGAAATGTGCACTGATCACATATTTGGGGTGCAGAGGCCATTGTGTATGACTGTTTGAAGGTTGGAAGGTTTGAAGTTTATGAGTTATTTGCTGGAATTTTTGAATGTTCTAGTGTTTGAGAGATTAAGTGTATCAGTGTTTTGATAAATGTAAGACTAAATAGGTAATATTGAATTTGAATTAACCAAGGTTGTCCAATAGTGTTACATGCATTCATAGATGCCTTCTCCAAGACTGCCACCTAGCCTGCGCCTATATTGCACCTACACTGTAACCCCTAAGGCGCCTCCCATCACGTCCAATTGTGTTACATGCATTCAGAGATGCCTTCTCCAAGGCTGTCACCTAGCATGCGCCTACTCTGTAACCCATGCCACCTCTTATTCGCCAACAGGGATGGAAACACCTTTCATTTTTGTACTCTTTCGCCAAGTCCAATGACGCCTCCCTTCATGTCCAATAATGTTACATGCATTCACATATGCCTTCTCCAAGGATGTCACCTAGCCTGCGCCTACTCTGCAACCCATGCCACCTCTTATTCACCAACAGGGATGGAAACAACTTTCATTTTTGTACTCTTTCGCCAAGTCTAATGGCGCCTCCCTTCATGTCCAATAGTGTTACATGAATTCAGAGATGCCTTCTCCAAGGATGCCACCTAGCATGTACCTACATTGTAACCTCTAAGGCACCTCCCGTTACGTCCAATAGTGTTACATGCATTCAGAGATGCCTTCTCCAAGGCTGTCACCTAGTCTGCGCCTACACTGTAAACCATGTCACCTCTTATTCGCCAACAGGGATGGAAACACCTTTCATTTTTGTACTCTTTCGCCAAGTCCAATGGCGCCTCCCTTCATGTCCAATCGTGTTACATGCATGCCAGAGATGCCTTCTCCAAGGCTGCCACGTAGCCTGCACCTACACTGCAAGAGTGACACTTATCATGCATGCATGCACCCACCTACCACCTCACTTACTCTATGAAATTTTTTTTCCTATAAATACAGAGCATTACATACTTCTCTCGCATCCACAATAGTCTCACTCTCTGCTACAAACTCTTTCATAATCTCTTACAATTTCAAACTCTTTCATAATCTCAGGCATTTTCAACAATGGCTCTTCTCACAATGGGCGATTCTCACAGAGGCACAAGGGACAACATTGCAGCATTTGTAAGTTTCTTTTATAGTTATACATTTTTCATACTTCTAGTAATACTCTGTTCATCTTACTTACTCTTACACCTTTTATATTATTAACTTAGGATACCAAAAGATTCAGAATCCGGTCACACAACTACCTTGCTCCCGACCCATTGATCGTAACACATCTGGAATACGTAGGTTTCAGAAATGTTATAAAGATCTCCAACTGCACA